TCGATCACTCAACCATCTACACCGTGAAAGAAAAGGTGAGTATTCACGACCCCTTTTTAAATCCATCGTTATTTGGGGGAAAAGCACGTATAAAAATAGTTGATGATTGTATGAAATATACAATGTGATTAAATCGTGAATACAAATTGATTATATGAAATATGCAATAAAATGAAGTTGTGAATATGAGCACTAACACCATGTGCACTAGTAAAAATTGTGTTTGGGTTAATTAAAAAGTCCCACTTGGTTACACTAATTAACTCGTATGAGCCGATAGTTTAAGTGGATAGCGCTATTTGGATTGACAATCCCACCTTTTACTGACGAGTAGGGGTGCATTTAACTAAAACACGGGTTCTATCCATGTGGTTTAAACACCCGCTGAGGTAGTTCGGTATAAAGGGCGTAGTTGTCGCAGGTTTAGTAGTGGCCCAACACTTAAAATTACTTGGAGTACATTGTGCCTCGTTAAAAGTGCTAAACGTATGAAAGTTGTTCGCGAGTAAGTAAAAGACTTACTCGAACTAAAAATTGCATAAAGAATTGTTGTACATTGAAAACCTGTGAACTCACCAACTCTTTGTAGTTGACACTTGTTTTAACGTACTTTTCAGGGGTAAAGAAGGCAAATGATGGCATATAAAAGTAACCGCGTTTCAAACATCACCTTCAAACAAAGAAAAAAAACATAACATTACTACCACTAATAGTAGTACCACCATACACCCTAAAATCTCATTCATATCCCTACTTACTAGGCCTTCCAATTGACCATTTCTCTAGCTGGCAGGAGTCCTTGGAATAGAGGCAAGACAAACCACATAAGTTATAACCTACAGAAAAGTGGGCTTTGCTTTACCAGCTTCTCTAAGACATCAATCATAGAGTCATTCAAAGTTTGAATCAATATCTGATAGTGGGATGAGTAGCCGATGCTAGAGATGGCGAGCTTAGACTTTAATGAGGAAATAACTTTTGATAGGATTTCTTGGAGACACAGGTAGCAGATTTTTGTTGGGACTAGTTATGGTAGAGGGGAGGAGGGTAGAGAGCTGACATATAGGATGAGAATGCCCTAGCATGGTTGGAGGGAGAGGATTTGGTCCTAGTACTTTTTTAAGTGACTTAGGGGCCGTTTACAAGACGCTTACCAGGGTAAGCGCTTACCAAGTAACATTACCTCACCGGATGAATATGGTAAGGACCAAGAATCTTACCCGGTAAGAGCGAGACAACGACCAAGAGTCTTACCTGGTAAGTGAGGGCGACGGCTCTTACCACGGTAAGCGCTTACCGGGTAAATTGTTGCATATGATGTCGTTTTGGTGGACTAAAATCTTACCCGCCAAGTAAATAATAGTGTTAAATTTTACCAGTAAACACTTACCAGGTAAGTGTTTGGTAAACGGCCCATTAGTGTTTTCATACTTTATCCTGTGCCTTACTTGCCCTGGCTGGTTTTAGTTGTTTTTAATCACACAGGCCTTTATAAATGTTACTGTCGACTGATGATGTTACTGTTTACTGTTGTTAGTTTTTGTTACTTTTCTTGTTTCCTGTTCGCACACAATCCCCCAAACCCAAATTTTTTCTTTTCATAACTTCCAGGTTAGCTCTTTTCTCCCCACTTTTCTTTCCCATGGCAAGGAATGTCTGTATATCCTACCCCCTTGATTATAATTTTTTAGTGGGATATACCGGGTCTGTTTGGTTTGGTCTGGTTTGGTTTATAAATCTTGCATGTAGGATAATTGTCTGATTTCAGTGGCAGGATTTTTTATTAGTAGTCTTGTAATTTTCTTTATGCAGTCCTTTTTTAATTAAGTTATAGTTCTGAGGATGACTTATTTGAAGAAACTGGACTTAGAAATATTATCATGACCGGTGTTTGTCAAAGCCATTGTATTCTTTATCTAAAAGGAGTAGCTTAACTTGTTGCAAAATAGTGATTTCTTGCTAGGAAGCAGCTTAGTAACTTCTGGCGTCCTTTTCTTCATATACTTTTTGTTGAAGTGGTTGAATAGTTGCTGACATCTTCACTCAAAATAGCATGGATGCAGCTTCAGACCGTGATTTTGTTTTGGAACTTCTTTCTGCTAATTCGATTACGGCCATGTATCTTTCTCGGCTTGGTGAAGAATGGGTATTATGGGCGTCAGAAGAATTTGGCTTCATCACTCCAAATGATTCAGTTTCAACTGGTAGCAGTATCATGCCTCAGAAGAAGAACCCTGACCTATGGAACTTGTTCGTGGAAAGTCTGCTAGAGTTATAGGAGACCTAGTCACACTTCAAGTATTATGCAAGGGACTTCCACTCTCTTACATCCGTGATCTGCAGGTACTAAGCATTCCTTCAATTTCCTTCGCACCATGAGCTAGTCTATCTTATGCTATGCAGTTCGGTTCAAGTGTCACCTTCACGTTTAAACTTCAAATTGGGTACCTTTCATGCACCATCTAATTTAACTCAAAAGAAGACTCGATTTGACTTTTGTTGTTTGTGCTGATGACAAGGAAAATGAGAGAAAAAAACATGTAGGTATGGTATGAATGTTAGTAGTGCTACTACCACGAACATCGTGCATTTGGAAAATGTAAAGAGCTACTCCCCCGTCCCAAGATAAATGTCCGCAATGAAAAAGGCACACCGTTCTCGAAATGTGTAATTGTTATGCTACATTCAGGAGCAACTCTGGCTGAATATTTTTTACAAGCCCGTAACTCTTCCTCAGTCAGGATGGGGCAGAATAGTAGAGAACCTTGTTTTGACTGTATCACACTATGTATCATTTGATAACCCCCAAAATCTTCTACCTTTCAAGGCATAATATTGAGAATGCTCATTGAATGAGCAATTCAATAAGAGAGCTCAGATAGCAATAACAAACAAATATCTCTATTCATTAGAAATTTTTAATTAATTAACTGACAAATATACACTTAATAATAGAGGGAGTAAAGAATTTCTTTATCTCATGATTAAGGTTAGAATTGGGAAGTACACGATTACTTTTGAATTTGGCCATATATTGGGACGAAATAAAATGGAAATGTGGGCACTTACGTTGGGAGAAAATGAGTGCATGTCAAACATTAATCCGAATAGGTCATTCTAACCATAGAAGTCAAAGTGGTGCTGATAATTTCCAACAGAGGAAATGGTTATGTTTAACCCTGTAGTTCTCTGGCGAAGATCGTGTGAGAAGGAGAGTTAAGATGAGAAGCGTAAGAAGAAATCTGGACCCTTAATCACCTTTAATCTTAAACCCATCCCTGAATTGCGCTTGATACGGGGATTGATCCGGTGCATCTCATCCTAATGTGCATCTAAGGTGGCGATCCCTTCTTACTCTTCTCACCGGAAATCAACCTGTAGTTCTCTCTGGCTGTGAATTTAAATGTAACTGTTTTTCCGCTTGATTTACAGGAAGACAAGGAACCTGTATTTGACAGTGTTAAAACAATTATAGGAATGCTAGAAGTGTCCGCCGAATTTGCACAAAACATCACCTATAATGGGGACAGAATACAGAAGGCTTTACCAGCAGGTCATCTTGATGCCACTACACTTGCAGATTATCTTGTTCACAAGGCAAGTCAATTTGTATTCCCGCCTCAAATATGCAACCCTTTTGTGCATATAATGTGAAAATCAACACCAACACAAGTTGCTATTTTGACGTACTCTTTATGAGAATTGAAATTTAATTTTTGAAAAGATGAAATGCTGTTAGTTTATATCATTTATTTACATTCTCCATTTGCAGACCGATCAAGTAAATGAGGCCTATAGTCTGGTCTTCATCACTTGTTGCACCAAATAAGAGCATCATAATGTTAGATGGCCAAAACGAGAATAGAGCTATAATGTGTGAGATTTGATGAATAGCATGTTTTGGGACACAGTTGGTTCGGTTCTTTGCCAAAATTGATGATTATTTTTAGGAAAAGGAGTGTAATTGTAGTTGGTTTCCATTACATGTTATTATTCTCGAATGTTTCTTTAAATGTTGAAAGGACCGGAAAGCTTGTTCAATTGGGACAAGAGTGAAATCGGCAAGTTATTTTGCGACAGAGGGAGTATATGGTGCAAATACTACATTTGTTTCTCGGTTCCACTGGTGACTAATGAAAAATAATATCTTGCAGGGCATACGTTTCCGAACTTCACATGACATAGTTGGAAGGGCGGTTGCATTGTGCGTTTACAAAAACTGTCAACTTGAGGATCTGAGACTTGATGAGTTATGAAGTATTAATACAGTGTTTGACGATGGCGTGTATGGTTATCTTGGCGTAGAAAATTCAATCAAGAAATTTAGCTCATATGGTTCTACTGGGTCTGAATGTGTAGCAGCTCAACTAGATTTCTGGATCTCCAGGCTCAATCTTAACCTTTGACAAAATTCGCATACGAAAACCTGAGTTAAGTATTCAACTAACTTCACGGATATGGCTTAGTTGATGATGATGATGATGATGATGGATTGGAACCAATGTTGCATATTGTATGTTATACTCATCCTTGATGCAATTAGGTCATGTGTTTTAGCACAATTTAGTAGGCAAATATTGTGAACACACACAGAGACAGACACTAGTTGTGAGTTAGAGCATTTGTATTGCAAGCTTTTAATCTAAATGTTCCATGAGGGTTTTTCTTTTCTTTTTATATTCTTAAACACGATGGCGAGCCAATTCGTGTCCAACTTAACGGCTGAGTTTGAACCAATTTTTTTTTATATTATTGTAATCCTAATCCAGAATGTGTAAAAATAAGTTTCTCGAATAAACAAAAGCAGAGAATTGAACACATGTTTGACAGACGGTAAATGAGATTCAATTTCATTATTTTAACATTCTATTTGAATATAAATAATAATTAAAATGATAAGAATATGGATGGAAATTGGTGGATTTAAATTTGTGTTTGGTTAATCAAATCAAATGAATTGTTAAAAAGGTTCACCAATCCCATGACTTAGTTTTTAGAATGAATTTCTAAATTCATCATAGAATACAAAACTTGCAAAATCAGTAAGAAAATGCAGCAGAAATCTCCCAACATCATCCAAACACCTCTCTCTCTCTCAACTTTGATTTTGATGATATCAACATTCAATCACAATCAACTACTAGAAAGTCGAAAGTAGAAAGTCAGCAGTCACCACTACTACTACTACTACTTCTAGTTACTACTAAATCAATCAAATATTCACACACAAAGATAGATTACGATACCACCTCATGTCATTCTAATCTTTTTGCTAGGAGGATGACACTTCTCTTGATATCTAAAACACACATCATCCACCTCCTCTGATTTTCTCTTCACCTCCACTTGTTCACTTTTGCTTTCATTCACTATTGAATCTTCACACCCAGAGATTGATGTTTCCATTTCCATTTCCATTTCCAACTCCATTTCCATTTCCAATTCCTTCTTCTCAGCATCATTCCAACAAGCTTCCTCAGATCTAAACTCCATTCCATTATTATCCGTTTCAGAATAAACAAACTGCCCACCACCTTCCATGTCCTCTTCCTGCTTCCAAAAAAAAAACCCATCTCTTTACAAATAAATCATTTGACAGACAAAAGATTAGTATTCAAAAAGAGACTGAACTACCTCAATTGGGGTCAGAGAACCCTTGTACTCGTCAAAATTAGTTGTCGTGTGGTTGAAACCCATAAAGGATACCAATTCAAAAGATGACTTCAAACCTTCACCACCTTGTATACATGAGGATGGTATTAAAGAGATTTCCGATCCACAATCCTCTGGGGATAAATTTACGATGCTTGTCCGACAGCTGGGGTTGCACTGTTCGTCAGTGGGACAAGATTCCTGATAAGGATTCTCCAGGAGATCACAGATTAATCTCTGGATAACTACTCTTTTTAGAGATGCTTCAGCAGGTGGAAACCAATCTACATTTAGCTGAAAATTAACAAATTTTTAGTAGTAATTACAAACATTAGTCAATACCATGAGATGCAATATTCTACTTGGCAAATACTTTTTAAGGAAAGATGTTTAACCATCATCACTACCCCTTAGCATCATTTTGTACCCATGATAATGGACATATAGTAAAATATGACAACTTCCCAAATGAAGAGAATGTTGCAAGGGTACCCATTTTTTGCTATTCCAAAGGGATGTTGGGGGTACGTATGCTATTTTTGATCTCATCAACACTCTGTTTGATAAGACATTTCAAAGGAAAAGAGTTGGGGAACAATCATAAATCATCCTGAACTTGTCCTTTTAGTTTAACCAAGTGGTACTAAATTTTAGTCAATCAGCCATTACAAGTAACATTTAAAAGCTCTAAGACAAGATGCAGTTCACAGATTGGTTCCTTGTCTTAAAGCTAAGTAGATTGGTTATCAGATAATCAAGGTGTTCTAATTTCAAATTAGACTTCACCTTATCTTCCTCTCTCTATAGTTCCCTGTGATTAAAATTATTATCTTTTCTACTTTCAAAATTATTACAATTTACAGGGAATTGATAACTGTAATTCAATATACAAAAGAACTGCAGATTAAAAACAGGCAAATAAAAAATTCTACTTACACGAACTATTTTGCCTCCGGTTAATCCTTATGCCGTCCTAACGCCCTTTAAAATGTTCATGTGCAAAGCACATGATAGTTTATTGCTCTAGGTATCCTAATACGTAGAATTTCTATCAAGAACATGGTTATATCCAAGAACCATTTAAGAAAAAATAGAAGTTTCTATCAAGAACATGATTAGAACATACAGAAAGAAATCTGTTTTTAGCATTAAGAGAACCGAACAAAGAAGGAAAATCTCTTCCTTGTTACCTCACCAGACCTACAAATTCCCATCACAACCATTTCTGCCTCCTAAAGCCCCGTCACCGACACCGACTCTTCGAAAGTTGTTCACCATCATATTTCCCCGTGAACAGCAAGACAACCACCACGACGATCACACAAACACGCCTATAGATTATTACTAGAGTATTCTTTTATTTCTTACAAATGTAAAGGTTTTTAAATATACTTTCCTACGTATTAAGAACTGCATGTAACCACCCACGAACTCTCAAAATAATGAATCAACAAGGCGGTATGTCTCACAAAGCACGGAAGCGACATCATGCATACAAACATACTGATACTATTGGGAAATACTAAAAACATAAAACTACGAACAATGATATTGAGAGGATAAGATGAATACTTACAAAGTTAAATCCCTTCGAGATTTTAAATGGATTAAAATGTGTAGGAGCTTGCTCCAAGAAGAGTTCTACATAATGGAGCAAGAATAGACCACAATCAAATGAATTTTGCTGCTGCGGTAACTGCACAAAACATAAAACATCAGACTTCAACACCCAAAATAAACAAAAAGCTGAGTTGGATGCAAGAAGCTTGACAAATGCATCACTAAAATAAAAGGGATTTAATCTAGCTGTTCATACCAAAATTGATCTGTTGATGGAACCAGAACAAGATAATGTACAAACTATTTAGCAGAAGTGAAATCATTACAGGCATATACAAAGAGCTTTTAGAATAAGGATTTTTCTGTACTCTGATTACTTTTTGCTGGGCATCAAGCAGAAAACACATATGATCCAACATTTGCAGAACACAGAAATAACCAACTGTAGACTAGTCTTCGTTTATGCAAGAAAACAATACACTAGCCTTAACCCTTCATCTGCAACTAATCAAGCCACAGTTTTGGAGTGGCGCATACCATGCAATTCTATTTATTTCAAATAGAGACAAATTACACATCATACCTCTAGTGAAATGAATCTCAAATCATCAAATCTTGAGGATATGTCTTCAGATGCTCCCTGTTGCCTCCCTTTCCATTCTTCCTTCAGGTAACTGCATTGTCATATCCGAGTCTTTAATTGATGCAAGTCAACTTCAAACTAAGGAACAGAAAAATCAAAGAAACAAATGACTACCCATCCCAGAGAGAAGGGCATCATGACCCAATATGTTCATCACAATGTCATTATTGTTTAAAGGTATGTGACGTAATCTATTTCTTTTTCTATTAGCATATTCCATGCACTAATATACCTGAGGGTGTTAGACTAAGTCAACTAGTCTAGTTTATATTATTAATATTGTCTAGGGTCCAAAGTGTAATTAGTTTTACCTATATAAGGTGTATCAGATTATTATTATTTTTCAATCAATACAAATCAATATCAAGTTTAATAGAGGGAACAATTGTGCTTTGAGAAAACAGACAAGAGTATCACCATTCTAACTACAGATGTTTGTGTTTCTGCAGAATCCTGGTAAAGGGCCAATAAATGAGCTTCCTCCCGCCCTTCCCAGAAACTCTTCAATTCATAAGTGATATAAGAAGTTAAAACCTAGGGTCAATAACACTCTGCAGTCTATTAAACATCAAGCATCACCCTTAGTTTGAACAGAAGTAATTTCATGGTCTAATGTGGAAAGGCAGCATTTTCATCTTTTAAACAAACAGGCATGACGTTATGCAAGATAGTAAAATACTATGCACATGCCCAACCCTGGTGGAAAAAAGAAGGTAAGCACCCCCTTCAGTATGGTGTTAAAATTTCACATGCAAAAGCTATGGAAACAGGCATTGGCCATGATTTGTTGCTACGATGTAGCCAATATAACCATTAAGAAATTCCATCAATAAACTTCAATATAATTAAGTTCTTCGTTTTTGTCCACCAAAAGAACTTTCAAAGAATCTCAAATGTAAGGTAACAAGTGATAAATAAAATCATATAAATAAGCCTGAACAGAAAGATCTGATACCTTTGCACAAGACCTTTTAGACCAGTATGACTGCCTCTGATAGAATCCATATGCAAAATACATGGCACTTTCATTGACTCAACTACATCTTCATCTGAACCAAAGCATAACATTAGAAGAGCAAGAGCCATATAAGATATACATGAAGAGATCTAAAATATCTGAAAGACTGACCATTGTATGTGGCCACATCCCCGAGATGACAAATTACAACAAGACTCCAGTGATAACTGTAAAAAAAACAGAGGCTCTCAATTGATTGATGTAATTTAGTAAAACCAAAGCTTTACATAGTTTATTTACTTACTTATAATTTACAGGAATAAAAACATAATCTTTCTCAAAAAGGTTCACTTTTCTTGTCCATTTCTTCACACGTTGAAAAGCTGCCCTTCCTTCAGAAGCATCAAGTGGATCTTTATCTGGATCAGCCAGCTTTCGAAAGAAGAAACTGTTGAAGAAGTGGAACCTGTGCCTTTCCTCGGGCTTGATCTTATTCTTCAAGTACCTGTCATCAATTAAAATTTTGATAATTGTTAAGTGGAGAAACACTTAAACATCAATCAGAAGGCATCACCAAAAACTAATAGAGATCTTGTGAATAACAAGACAAGGAAGCATATGAAATGGAATTTTTACATCAGATGTAACGATTCCCTATCTTGACTACTTACAAGTTCTTATAATTGGAATATAAATAGTTACTAAAGTTATTCATCCTTTTTAAAAAGTTATATTTACACTGTTAATGGCAAATACTAAATTAATGGCCCCCAATAAAAAGTATCGCCTTCATATTCCCCTTCTCTATTTATTGTTGTCATAGGAGATTAACTGCATTATAAATTCAGGCACTGTGTAAACCTACTTCCTATGTAGCCTTTTGACTGCTTTTGGGAGCACCATGAGACAAAAGAAGGTGGAGATGAACATACTTGATATAAAAGTCGATGATGGTGTCATTGACGAAAGTGTCTGGTTGCAGTAAATCAAAGTCCCTCTTACTTATAGAAACAGCATCAGCATCCCCTTTTGGATAGACAACCTCTTCAAAAGGCCGATCAAAGCTGCAAGCATCCAAGCAATTAAAAAGGCAATACAAGGAACACACGAAATAGAAAAAAGTTAGAAATGGCAGGCAAAAAATTGCATAGATCAACAGTCAAAGATACCTTTTCCTGATAAATGGACAACAAATTGCAGCAAAAGTTTTTTTTTTTTTTTTTTTTTTTTTTTTATAGTAGATTATGTTTTTTTACCCAAAAAAAAAAATTGCTGCAAAAAAAATTATATTCAACCAGGGTNTTTTACCCAAAAAAAAAAATTGCTGCAAAAAAAATTATATTCAACCAGGGTGATAATTTAGATTTGTACACAGGCATAGATGTTCCTCCATTTGTTGCAATGGAACAAACAAACGAGTGATTCTTTTTCTCTGACATGGACTAAATAACTTGCTTAAAGATTAACGATTATCTTTTATCACATACTTTTTATTTAATTGGAATAAACAAGCCATCATCTCAATTTGCATAAAAACCATTCTCGAGGGGTTTTTATATATGAAAGAAGCATAATTTCCACATTATACAAGTGAAATAAACAGCCGCAAAAAGTACTTTCCATAATGCTTTCCAAAGTGTATTACAAATAGCACATTTTGTTACTTACGTGGGAAGATATTTTGAAAAGGATGCTCCAGTGTGTCCAAGCACAGAGTCCCTGCAACAATCATCCATGTTGACACCACAACACAGTTACATAACAACAATATAACCAAGTGAACAATAGCAATGGAAAACACCCCCCAAACTGATTTTATAACCGTGAATTGGATTCCAGATATCGTTCATTTCAACTTTTACCTTGATGACATAGCATAATTATCACAAGTAGACAGACATCCTTCAAAAAGAAAGTAAGTTTAGAATCTGAAGCTGTTGCCAGTTGCAAAGCTCTATCCCAAGGACGCACGCGTCACATCCTTAATGTGTCATTTTACAAGGTACATACTGAGGAGCATGGTTAATCTTAGAACTTCTAAATAGAACAAAAAATTACTGCAGATATCTCTTTAATGTTATCTCTTTTTTAGACCACACCATTTTAAGCATGTGCGTCTATACTTTGTATTAGGGTGTCTTGGGAGCTGGCACCCATATTTTTTAAACTAGTTACATCAAACCCAGGAGCTACATCAGGACACCTAGAAAAGAAAAACACGTTATCTAAAGCTAGAATACAGGAATATTATTTAGGGATACACTAGAGAAATCAGAAGAAATGAGGATGCGGGTATGCAGGTATATGATGGTATTTAATCGTCACATATACAGACGCACACATGGTCATAAAAGCTAAATACACCGATTCATAATACAGTAAGTATCCTCAAATTTCAAAACATCGACATTATTGTTGGGCCAACTTCAACTTGAACATCTAGCAAAATCCATGTCCGTAAGAAAGTATTACATGCTTTTTTTTGTAGATAACTTATTGTATGCCAAGTAACCATGTATCCTAATTATGGCATCCGATACACAAAATACCAAGATTAAAGTATCCCTTCTTCCTGGTAAGACTCCCAGATTAGTATAATTCAACGTGCTGGGATGGTCTTAACCAGGTCTCTCCATTATGGAGAGATCACTTGTAACATGTAACAATATGCATTCAAGCAGACAGCATATTAGATACTCGCTCTAACTCAAGCACTGCTCAATAGAGTTAAAGAACTCACTCTGACTCAAGAATACTGCTCCATAAAGCTTTATATGTGACATTCAAAGATGTAATTGCTTCAAGTCTCCCAAACCAGCTAGAGCCGGTAATTGCAAATTTCAACTCCATGCCTGAACAACGTAAAAGAGGCAAAAGAAATCAAGAATGAGATCTGTCAGTTACATCAATGTAATTCGTTTGACCAAATTAAGTAGGAAAAAAGCAGCTGATTCATGGTATTTATTAGACACACACGTCTAACAGTAAGTAGTATTAAGGCTAATGATGAATCCTCCAAATAACACATTTCATATCAAATAGGATAAAACTTTTTCTAAACTGTCAATGAACTAAATGATGGTAATTTTTTTTATTCCAACCACCATACAAGAAACATCAATCGAATCAAGCAGCTGTTTCATAGGGATCTATCAGATACGGATATAAACATTCACACACAAACCACTCCAATTTAAGCAACATCAACTGAAGAACCAATAATCAACATAAGCACCAACACATCATTATGTCAACCACTTGCATTCGATTAATCTCAAGCACATAAACAAAATCATTAAAGAGAAGAGACAAGGCAGAGCAGAGGTGAAGAGACAAAGTGGCAACTCAAGCTAAGGCCCTAATGTTGACTGTTCAATCTTATTTCTCTTTTTGTGCAGTATACTAGTTGAAATGCTTAACAAGATCACGTTTCATTTAAACCAAAAGGATCCAAGACAACGTAATTATAATTCATTAAAAATGGCCCAAAAATCAACTAGTTATTCGCTTCGAAGAATCCACGCCTTGTGTGCCTCACACCTTGGTCCTTAAGACATGCACAATGAACCTGATGGGCCTCAACTTTAGGGCACCTCAACGGCCCTTGTATGTAGGAGCCCTTCCGCAACAAGGTCATCTACTAAGGAGACAAAGGTTTTTGGTCCTTAAGAAATGAGTCTTCCCGTTTAAGCAGTGGGTTGATATACTACTCAAAACACAACCACAATCAACCCCACTGAAAAATTCATTGAACCATACCTTTACTCCACTTTTTCCATCACCTAGCAAGTCATGGCACCTGCTCCAATCAACCCACTTCCAGCGCCATACTGTCTAACCTTGATAGCAGCTAACTCACAACTATGCGAAACAAAAAAGCTTCACCTCATGGTATGCTCCCACCCAATAACATTTGACGTGATACAAACAAGAATATGCAAGTGTTCTCATACGGCTATAATATCTTCAGATGAGCTGTTCAACTAGAGTAGAATTTTGGCCACCTAGCTATGCCTACCCAACAAAATTGTATATAAAAAAAGACCATGACAACGAAAGCGTTAAAAGTCTAATGCATATAACCTGAAGTGCATTCAACATTTTCAGTCTCTAGTATTGTATCCTTCGTAAGTATATGAATCTTCACCATCGCCATCTCAACCTGCACAATAATTGCCGCAATTCATAGCCTCACAGGCTGACCTAGATGAGCACTGCAATATAATTAAATTTTACACTCAATATGATGGACTTACCCGCTCATACCAATGAGATCTGATATGAAGTATATCCTCAATTCTCCACTTGCATTTAAAAGTTTCATCGTCTCCATCAGCAGGTGAACCCTCCATTTCGATGAAACTGCTAGTAAAAGATATCACAGAATCTGTATAATAACTATCACGGTACACCACGTAATCAGGATAGAAGACAGCTGTTGTTAGATCTTCACTCTCCTGTCAATTGTACAAAAAGGATTAGAGAAAGCCAAAGAATCTTCACATATAGAAAAAGGGCCAAGAAGCTTCATACTTCGATGTGTGGCTGGAACACTACAGCATGCTCAATAACATAATTTAGATTTTCGGAAACTAAACTCGAACGCTAGTAGCTTAAACAGGTCACGACTTGCAAATAAGAAACTAAATAACTAAAAGGTTAAAGCACAAAGCTACTTCGGGGCTCTCTGGTTCAGGTTGTGGAATGAAAATGGGAATGAGAATGAAAATAACAGGGAATGAAAATGAGAATGACTTTTCATCCCCCCCCCCCGGCGGTTTAACCTGGAATGAAAATTTGGGCTTCTGGGGGATGGACCTATTATATTATATAAAACCAAACAGTATCTTTTATTATTACTCCCATTGATTACTGCTTACTACCTCTAACCAAACACCCCCTTCATTATCTAATACAGCCACGGCCTAATCCATTATCCATTTAAGTTCCTACTCAGGTATCATTCACAAATACAGTTTCAAGGACTTTGAAGGGAATATGATATAGCTTATGTTTTCAGTTCACCTGGAAAAGAGTTAGTCAGTTAGCCGCTAGATATGCTGTTCTTGTAGACAGAATGCTTGGACAGAAAGTAGAGCTAATAAATTCTTCCCTTAGGTATAAATTTTCTAAATAAAAACACAAATGCAATAAAGAAAAGCAAAGTCTGTAAAATTCACAGTGCTTGAAGCCATCAATGATCTCTCAATATGGTCATCTTTCTTTTTCTTTCCTTTTTTTTAGCCAGGGAGCAGAATGCACTAGTATAGCCACTCTAAACCAACCAAAAAGTATTGACTAATCCAAAGTGTGCAGGATTGGAACCTTAAATTCCTAGCAGTCCAGCTTGAAGTCAACAAAAGAGCAAACACAAACTAGAAGTTCAGAAATAGTATCTAACTCACGTCTAGCTAAGTAAGTGCTCAATGACAACATCTAAAAAAGCTATGACAAAAATGTTTGCTTGCTAAGTAATGACAGTTGGAGTTAACAGTATCTAAGGCACAAAACACAGTCCATGCACTCATACAGTTTTAATAAATAGAAGAGCAAAGATAGAAAGATTAAGGCATCTTAACATGGAATGAAAGATGTAGGTGTTTAGAAGTCCTGCTGCACATCAGCAATTTCTTTCCATTATGCATTGATCATTGAAGTTCACAACGAGGTAGGTTCACAAGCTATAACACACACATATATATTAATTACAGAAGTGCTTACCATTTCCCACCCGCCTATGCACTGATCTGAAGATGGTCCAGCCAAGACACCTGGCACAACAGAATAATAGTTTAATAAAAATATAATGGTTCATTGAAGTAACATACAAACTCTAATTGTTCAAAAGAAATGTCAACATATCAAAAAGCATGGAGATGAAAAGAATTTTCCATTTCTAAACGACTAGATAAAGAGTTACAAAATTGACACAAGACCAACCATCCTCAGAATTCATGATGTAGAAATACAGCTTTGCTATAAAAAGAGGAAGTGGATTATAATAGAAATTTTGTGTTTCCAGCCTTCCAGGGCATGAAGCATTTGGAACTGGAAGATATTATACTGTTACACATATAGATAGTATGAATAAATGTGGGGGCTGGTCAATTAGTCAAGTGATTACAAGTATAAATAGGAGGGGATAGATAGGCATGGCAACGGGGCAGGGATGGGGCGGGTTTTGTAATCCCCAGCCCCGGCCCCGGTTTGTAGTAACATCCCCCGGCCCCGGTCCCCGGTCAAATCTCTAGCAAAACCCGGTAAAACCCCGGTCAATCCCAGGTCAAACCCCATAAATAGTATCATTTAGTTTGATTCTACCGGGGATCACCGGCCCCAGTCCCGGTTTGAGTAACATCCCCTGTCCCTGGTTTGAGTCTACCGGGGATCCCCGGCCCCGGGACCCGTTTTAGTGGGGAATCCATGTTCGGGTCGGGTGAACCGGGTTCCCCACCGGGTCGGGGCAAATCACCATCCCTAGGGATAGAAGTGTTTAGGCATCAGTTTTGTATTGTGAAATTGGTGGAAAACCTCTCTGGAGAGATCCGGCTCTCTCGGAAAGCTGGTAATCAATTTGTAAACATTTGATTGTTGAATAAAGATGATAAGTTCGCATCATATACATATAAAAAGGAAGAAACAAAGAAAGGCAGTAGTTACCATCATCTTCTGCAACATCAGAACAAGATGAAGATCTCTCACACATGCTGCCCTTTTCATCTGGTTCCATTTCAACCGTCTCATCCTGCAGCCAGTTAAGCTGTTGTGAGCACTTAAAATAAAATTTGAACCTTGAACATAGATCATCAGAACATACAACTTCAGGTATGGGCAACAAATCTAGGATCGCTGAACTTAATTTGTTGCTGCTAGGTGAAGCTGATGTGGTGGCCACATTGACCTCTACTCCAGCAGGTGCACTTGCCTCCAATTCAGATAAATCAGTTCTGAGTTCTGGACTACATTGAGGATGTTCTTCGGCCACTGTAAAATCATCATTTAAATCAGCCTTCATTTCAGCAGAAGGATCCTCTACTAGGGTGGTAGCAATTTGATTAATGTTGATAGCATCAATGCTTAAAGAGGGAGCATAGTTGATCCCCTCTGATGAAATATCTTTTCCGGTGGCAGCTGGAAGAAATGACAACATAGTTTATGGTACATTCTCAGCGAGACTAAGCAAGTCATCATACAAGTAAAGATATCTCATTCATAGGAACATGGGAAAACATGAAAGGGGACTGTTCTACCCAGCAGATCAGTTTCCCACTTGCCGCAATAATCATCTGCTTCATGATTGTTAGGCTTATATAGCTTCCACCCATCACAATTATCCAACTAGCCTGATTCTTTGATAAATGACATTCGTGCATGCACACATACAAACTACCTATATTTGTGTGTGTGTATATACATAAAACTTCTTGGTTAACCATATATTGAATGAACATCTATTGCCCACAAGCCCCACTTCCCAAACTACTTAAGAATCATGGGCAACAGTGTCATTCTGAAATATCTTAGGGGATTGTGCAACTTAATTCGGACCCATCCTAGTATTTATTCCCACTCCTTGTTCACTCCACTATGTAGTCTTCTAGAGCCACATGTTTTGGTAAGCGAAGTGTTGAATACAAAACACAATCAGGAATTGTTATTAACAGTACTCAGTAGAAAAGATATGTGTGTGAATCACTCACTTATTCTGCTGTCATATGCATCTGCAAGACTAATGAATAGTTAGTTAAGATTGTTTAACATTCATCTGAGGCGCAAAATCTCAATATTTGCTTTTCCAGCATTAACCTTTGGATGTAAATAGAATTGTTTGTTTGTCTTTTTTGCCAGTCACTTTGTACGAAGTCAAAATATTTTTCTATCGCATGGTTCAACTGAAGTTCAGAACACGATTGAAAGGATCGTAGTTATAGTTCATTTCTTGGGTAACAATACTATTTATGACCAATTATTAGACCACTAAAGATGGCACTCGGTGAATAAATCTCTTCTGCAACAACTCTATTTGTTCGTGAGGCAGTAAAATCAGCCTGCCCCAGAAAAACCTAAGGAAAGGGTGGGCTAGAGTAGTAGTCCAAACTAATATGGCACATCAATGACGGATCCAGAATTTTTGCCTAGTGGGGGCACCTTTAAAGTAGATTAAAGGTATGCAAAGTCGCCCGATGTGTGTTTAGCATAATTCCACCGTTTTGAAGGACTTAAAAAAAATTGGTTGATTTTGAAGGATTTTTTTGGTTTTTTTCTCGATTTCGAGCGGCTTCTTCAGGGTTTTTGGTTGATTTCAAAAGACTTTCAGTTTCTTGGTTGATTTCAAGGTACTTCTTTTGATTGGTGGGGGGAGAGATGGGAAATTACTGGGGGGAACTATGGTAGAAAGTGAAAAATTATTTTTACTTGTATAAAAGAGAGAAAAATTTAATGGGGGCCCATCCCCCCACCTTTAACATACTGCATCCACCCCTGATGGCACTTAGCACCTTCGCATGTAACCTTAAATTTCATAGGTGGACTCCTGGTACTCCTGTAATATATGAACTAAGTTACTGGTCCTAGGACTATCTTCACACATAAACATGGATAATATGGGCAGGCCCAAAATTAGCATCCTCCCATCACAGTGTAATTCACCACCTTCGTACCTATTAGCTGACCTCTTTTCTGCTTTTGAATGTTCAAATTTAGGTGACTGCTTTCACAAAGCAACCAACAGCAAAATTTCCTCATGTTTATAACCTAGGTGTATCAAGTTAATATTTCTTTCACCTCTTTCTTGTACAGAATGATGCAGAGCCAAGGGTAGAAATGGGAATCTACTTTTAGTATACACGTCTAAAACTGGAGCAAAGTGAAAGTGACACTGAAACTAAAATGGAGTTACAGGTAAGTTCTAAATTTGTCTTCCAACTCCACCGAACAACATTAGCATGTCTGCATAATTGAGGGCACTAACAATTACTGTTTTCACTCAAAATCCACATCCCTATTCATATCTAATATTTGGTTTTCAACAAATCCCTTGAGATAAATATGGAACACATAAGTAAATTGGGATAGAGTCCCATCCTACAAATTTTTGCATATACCACAAGTAGATACAAAGGCAGCCAAGATCCTACCAGGTCTAAATTAAGGAAAAAGAACAAAGAAAGCCATTACAAAAATTCATGTTCTATCTTTCGTTAATAGGTCTTCATGTGTCTAATTAGTGTAACAAAGTATAAACCCATACATACCTGTATATAATTGTGTGTTCTTGGATCATTGGATGGAAGCCAAATTGTCATCTTTTCTGCTGGACTAGAATTTTCAAGTTCCATCAGGCAACCAAAGCAGAACCTTAATTTTCTAATTAGAGACTTATGATCAACCATCATACAAAGTAAAATGTCAAAAAATTTCCCATTAGAACAAACTCCGCTTCCCTTAGTACATTTGGTGTCTTCATATAAGCATGGCCTTTTGGAACTCTTGATGAAAATATCAACTAAACAACTCACATCCAGACTAATTGGCAAGCACTTCTTGCCACAACTTTACCAGATTTTCCAATAATTTTCCACTATTTCAAAGTGATATTTATGTTGTCCACTTGATTATATATGCATAAGCACTAAATATAGCTAGATAATGCCTTATGAACCACCTAAACCAATAACCACAACTGCCACAGATATACACCAGAATAAAGGATGCTAAGGGGGATCAAAAAGAATTTGATGATTCACTCCATAACTTACAACGGCATTTGACTAATTGTAGTATTTGTTATAGAGATAAGCTGTTAGATTGTTTGTCAGCATGACCTAGAAAGTCAACTCTATTCAATAGGATGCGAGCATCAGCATGAGAGTCATGAACCGTTTATTCCCAAAAGCAAAAAAAAAACATGTTCACCGAAAAAAACACAGATCCCAAAAGAACAAGATACAAATATAAGAAATTGACCACTAAACTTTCAGGGGAAAAAACTAACCGGTTGCGAGGAATATATACTTGTCAATTGCACTTGTAGGGTTTTCTAGCTTGCTCTTAATCCTAAGAGCAAGTTCTGTCTCTTCTGTCTCTTCTTTAAATTCAAAAACATCAAGATTTTTCTTACAGACAGTCTTCATTTTCCGTGTGTATATATGCATGTAAACTGATATTAGGGTTTTCAACGGAATCGTAAGCGACGAATGACTTTCTCAATGAGCAATCGAAATGAGGGCTTTTATCCTGAGAATCATGATGATCAGAATGAGAAAATGTTGGAAGATGAGGGTTTGGTATGGGATTCAATTTTCGGAAACAGGGTATGGGTTGGAGGAGGATGATCGGAGAAAAGCGAAGGAGACGCAAAGTCGAGCGCGTGATGCTATGTGGTTGGAGCTGCGAGTGCGGAAGAAATATATAAACATAAGAAAAGGAAATCGAAGGTTAAAAGTTGATAAAAACAAACTTGTTTCGCAATGGAAAATCTATGGAAATACAAGTTTCTTTCGTTAGAAGAATGGTACACTTTACAATACAATAAAATATATTTTAATTTTAATATTTCGTTTCGATGTTGTAGTACGGTTTTATGTGGTTTAAAAAAAATGGATAATATTTTTATCTATACTATATTATAAAATATTTGATAAAAACTTTTAAAAACCATTTTTTATGTATGAAGTACTGTATATTGATGTATATTACTTAAAATTCAAAATTACAATTAAATTATGCCAACTTATTAAAGTTTCATGTTTGAATTCGTGTAATTAACTGCGAATAAACATAATCAAATAGATGATAGACATCTCATTTTAAAATATAAAAAATCTAAAATATAATTAAGATTGTAAATTGTATGTTATACCCACAACACGTGTCACCCAGATACACTGTCAACGAGTCATGTAAACCTAAGGGGTCGCACACAAAGAACATGTATGCTTCCACTAAAGAAAGAATCTAAACATATGTATCGTTTTGCGATTATTATAATTGCAGGGTTTAATCTATAAATACATATATAATTATCTAAAAACATTTAAGATATTATTAGATAAATAAATAATTATTTTAGATAATAATTAAACTTTATTAAGAGTTATGGTCAATTTCGAAGACTGGTTATATAAACAAGGCTTAGGGGCTAAACCAAAGTAGACGATTGAGTTCTGATAACTAGTTGTAGCCTCAAAACCCTTACGATACAATTATAAAATTAGGATTCTTTGGGCTAGCACCTGGTGGGAGTTCCAAGCGTGATCGTGTGTGGACAATCGATAGAGGAAACCTAATTTGGTTTCTTAGTGCTACATCAAAGTTTCAATTTCAACTACAAGGTAAATATTTTAAACATCCTATGGTTTACGTAGATTCGTTTTAATTGTCAATGGATCCGACTTTGGGTTTTATTTAAAAAAATTCTAAACGTTTTTGTAAACGAGTTCTGTTTTTTTGCTGTGTTTTATCCGCTTATTTTCGCAAATTAAAACCCAACAGTGGTATCAGAGCCACTTTGACAATTATTCCGATTAATCGGAAGTAGTTAAAACGGAATGTCACTAAACATGATTTTATTTTTGAAAGGATTTCGAATAAATCAGTTTCTGCCCAAAGTTTAGGTCACCCAATCCTGTCCCCGCCGTTGCAAGCGAGTTCTGGCCCATTAAAGGGGCTATTGCCTTTTCATGGTGGAGTCGAGAGCAGGGTTAGAGGGATAGAAAACCATATCTGGGCCGAGATAAAATAAAATAAAATCAGTTGGGCCGGTTCTAATAAAACCATATATGAGCCGAGACATCTTTTGGCTATAATTTTTTGGGCCTGTTTTTTAAGTCATTTTAAATTTAAATGATTGGGTTGGTTTTAAGTTAAAACTTTGAACCGAATTTCGTTTAAAGTTAGGGCTGGTTTAAAATTAAATTATGGACTAATTAAAACCAAATATGTTATTTGAATTTTAATAAAAATCTTGTTAGATTTGATCTTTTAAAATCCCGATTAATTTATGTTGTTAATTATTTTTGTTTTTGGTTAATTATTTAATGTTTATTTAATTGTACTAACTTTTTTTTTGTTTTATATTATGTTTAATATTTTTATTGTGTAATATATGGATTGCCCTGCCGAGACCCGTGGTTGATTTATTTATTTATTTTTGTCGGAAAATTAAAATGTATTAATTGCATGGGTTGTAATTTTTAATTTTAATTTTCTAGATAGGACAAATGTAAATAGAATAGAATTCTGTTGTATTTATTTAAATCAACAAAGACGACATTCCAAAGAAGACGGAGTCCGTGGAGTTCACCAAGATGGCGAGGCCAGTGGGAGCTTGAAGACGTCCTTAGTTTGATCGTGGTTGTTGTGTTGGCTCACAACACCATATTAGGGGCAAATCCATATATTATCTTGTGGTTGTTTATTTTGTGTTTGTTTTTTTTTATTTGTTTATTGCTTTTATTATTGCTATGATAATTGCAAAACCCCTTAAAAATCAAATGCAAAACAATTTCAAATCGGTAATTAAAATATGATATTTTAAAATGATAATGTTTATCAAAAATCAAACCGATTTTTACGGGTAAACTTTTAAAACAAAAGGATTTTAATTTTAGAGATAAAATCAAACGTTTTAAAAGTAATTTGAAAATGTTTTTCTAAAATTTAAACCTTTCTAAAACGTAAACTAAACGCCACACATTAAGGTACTTGTCAAGTCTTATAGATTCCAGTATGATTAGAGTTTGGCCTGTCATATCGGATGATAGTAGTGTGAGACAAGGTGCCGAGACTACGAGATTCAAGTGAAAGTTGCACTTGGTCACTCACTTGAATAGTCGTGTTTTGAACGACTGATCCCATTAAACCTGAATTGAGAAATTAGGTGGGATCACGATACCTTAGTATGAGCAGTTTACTTAAAAATATCATAGTATGTGAATTAACCTTCTATAAGTATTTTTAAGGCGTAGAAGTGAGATTAAACGTGTCTATTTGATATATTAAATAGAATCTCATGATCACTTAAGAGTTATGTTGAGCATGATTGGATGATTCCTACCTAAATAACTTATTTCTCAGACAGTGCATTACCATTTGAAGAAATAGATGAAATATGGATCTTAGCTCAAATAAAATTGATTTTTGAAAGGTTAATTTATTTAATTTGAGATTTTAAAAGTCAGACTAAAATCGAACTTGGATATTGTAGATGTATGCATCCACTCCAAACCCAGACTCAGCCACAAACAACTTGTCCCAATTTGTACTCCGGTTTGTCCTTAAAAAAGAAAAGCTGAACGGGACGAACTTCCTCGAATGGTTTCGCTTCTTAAGTGTTGTACTTAAGCATGAAAAGAAGCTCTATGTTCTAGAAAACCCCCTCTAAACGCTCCTGCTAGAACTGCATTCGCTGAAGTCAAGGGTGCCTTTGAAATGCATCAGAATGACTCACTGGATGTGGCATGTCTCATGCTTACCACTATGACTCTTGAGTTATTGAGGAATCATGAGTACATGACTGCTTGAGAAATAATTTCTTCATTGAAATCTATGTTCCAACAACAAGCCAAACAAGAGAGGTTTGACACAGTCAGGGCATTGCATGCCTGTATGATGACTGAGGGTTCACCGGTCAGTACCCACGTCTTAAAAATGAAAGGGTATGTTGACCGGTTAACCCATCTTTGTTTCCCACTAAACAAGAAATTGGCAATCGACTTGGTTCTCAATTCCTTGCCTAAATCATATGACCAGTTTGTTATGAACTATAATATGAATGGTTTAGAAAAGTCTCTCATAGAGCTTCATGGCATGCTTATAACTGCTGAGAGAAGTATTCCCAAGTTGGAAACCCCTAAACCAAAACAGGTCTTGATGATCAAGCCTAAAGGTGGGATAACTAAGAAAAGGAAGGGGGTAGCTAAGAGCAAAACTAAAGTTGGAAGTTCCAACAAAAACAAGGGCAAAGGAAAGATACCTGATGATGCAGTTTGCTTCAACTGCAACCAAAAGGGGCACTAGAAGAGAAACTTCCCAGCCCTATTGGTAGAGAATATGAAGAAGAAGAAGACTGACGCAGTTGGAACTTCAAGTATGTTTACCATTGATTTATTCATTTCTGACTACGATTCCTGGGTATTAAATACCAGATGTGGTACTCATATATGTACTACTTCACAGGGACTAAGAAGTGAAGAGATGATGAAACCAGGCCAAATGGAACTGAGAATGGGCAATGGAGCTAAGGTAGCCGCTGTTGCTCAAGGCACATACTATATGCATCTGCCAAATGGCCTTACTTTATCGCTTATCGTTTTCACAATTACAACAGACTATAATTATGTTTACTTTCAGCAACAATACAATTTCAGTTTATCTTGATAATGTTTTGTATTTCGTGGCGGAACCATGGAATGGTATTTATGAAATTGATATTCAAAATAGTTGTAATTATGAATCAATATACAATGTAAACAATAAACGGAGCAAGTGAGGCTTGAATCAAACCTACTTGTGGTATTGTTGTCTTGGATATATAAACAAGAAACGCATAGCCAAACTCCAGGCGGACGGAGTATTGGAATCATGTAATGATTCATATGACACATGTGAGCTTGTTTATTAGGAAAGATGACTAAGGCACCTTTTAAAGGTAAGCCTGAAAGAGCTACAAAACTTTTAGGAGTCATTCATACTGATGTATGTGGGCCTTTTAGTTCAGTCACAAGAAATCGACATCGTTACTTCATAACATTTACTGATGACTTCAGTAGATACAGGCATGTTTACCTAATGAAAAACAAATCTGAAAGCTTTGAAAAATTCAAAGAGTTTCAAAATGAAGTAGAGAATCAACTTGATAAGAAAATAAAAATACTTCGGTCTAATCGAGGTCGTGAATATTTAAGCCAAGAGTTTATTGAACATCTAAGAGATTATGGGATAGTATCCTAACTATCTCCTCCAGGAACACCACTGTTAGACCCCATCACTCGTATTTGTAAAAGTAATGAAAAACATACAAGTGTAAAAGAGCATAAGGCCGATGGAAGACTCACAGGAAAAAAGTCTAAGTGCCCTATACAACCAGAGATGCGATGAAGGTCCATAGGTGCGATGAACTGCGCATCTCCATAACCCCTTTGGTTACCAACACTTAGAGTTTTCCACAACAGTTCAACCAGAGATACTCATTCAAGAAGACCACAAGACTCATGGTTGAACACGTCCTCAAGAAGACAACTGGAGATGGCAAATCGACAACTGGATTCTCATTACCTTACTTAGCTTTATTTAGTTTTCATATTTCTAGATTGCTTTCTTTCATAAAGAGATTTGCGATATATCTTCCATAGATAGCAATCTC